TTTGGCACTCGGCTTTCCTACCTGGGTGGATGTCCCACGTCTGCATTAGATGAAGAAAAGGGAGATAATGCTAACAGTCATCACAAGTTTGTAACCATTCTCCTCCTCTAGTTTTGAAGTTTCAGTTTGATAGGGTAAAAAGAAGAACAAACCTCCAAAGTATGGGAGGAATTGGATAAGGAATTTGTGCTTTACTCTACTATGTTCTTTACTAGTTTTTTTTTTTTGCTCTTATACAACTGATTTAAAGAATTAAAGACTATTGCAGCGCGATTTTAAGATACCTTAAATTCCACCAATGTTCCTGAGCCTCATTAATGAAAACAGGAAAGTACCTCTCAGAAAAGTACTTCAGAGTGGCCAAACAAGTCAGTGAGCAGGAATGCACGAGGCATAAGGATTCAACAGAACTTAAGTCATCCAAATGCAAGCTTACTTTGTCAGGCCCATTACTGATTGTAAGTTGTAAGCTTGACTGCTGCTTTGGTTTGATCACTTAAATTTAATTATCTCAATCTAATTCAAATGAAGTAAATTCATTGTCAAAGACTTACAGTGTTCTGATACCTTTCTCACTGGATATGATTACTAGATTAAAACACTTACAAGCTAATTAATTTCAAAAACTGTGGCTTTGGATAAATTCTTGAGGATTTATCTCCTCTTACATGTCCGTATCTATTTATCTTCTTGTCCTGTTTCTCTTTGGTTAATTTCTGGCATTTGTGAAATTGAGAATGACAACATGGACCAGAATTAGACAAAATGTCAGACAGATACCATGTAAACTTCCACATTACAGGTCAGCAAATTATTCCAGCCTGAATCTGAATCTGAACTCTTGTGGTCTAAGCTTATACAGTGATTGTCAAACTTGTCATTCAGTAAAGACTGTATAATGAGGATAAAATTTACCTAATTGTAGCACAAGGATAGAAAAAGCAAATTAATGACAATAAGTGAATCATCAAAGGAAGAGAAACTGGAAGAACAGATCATCCATCTTCCTGTCACAAATCCATTTGCAGACAAAAATGGACACACATCATCCTGGGAAGCAACTGAACCCAAACAGACAGCCCTTCCCACCACTTAATTCCCCGTCTTACCCACCATATACATCTCAGAGGTGACCTTTTTCCATCAAGAAGCAGCCTCAAGAGGAGGACGCATTTGGAGAACCCTGAATGTCCAGTTGGGACAGATGCCCAAAAGGGCTTGCTGGAGCTCCTAGCAAATCCTCCTGCTCAGCTCCAGATGCTCCTTTCCAGCACTTGGGCTTTCTGGCTTACTTCCTGCTCTCTCTGGTACAGTAGAGGAAGCTGTGACAAATCCAGTAGGTGGCCAAAGTAATATCAGCAGGGACAGAAATCTGTGTTTGACTGTTAAAACAGCTAATGTGGTCTACCCAAGAGATGCTTTGAAACTGACCCAGAGAGGGTTTCCAGCTTTCTACCATATTTGTAAGACAATTCTCGCATCTCCGCAGCAGCCAACTGTAGCAGGATTTATGATCCCTGAGAAGAGGGAAGATCTGCAATAATTTACTTTGTCAAGGGTATGATCTCATAATCCTTTTCTTCTCTTTTTTCCTAATACCAGTTAAATATCTTCAATTTTGCCTTGAAGGAAATGCTTATCCCAAAATTAACACACTTTGTTTCGAGATGATGTGGGAATAGGGTAAGATCACTGATGAAGTTACACAGTAGTTCCTGCTTAAATGTGGCTATCAGCTGGGCCCTGCTCAGTACAGCCAGAAGAAATGGCAGCACAAATGCTATGTTTGAGAAGCTTCTACGTATTCTATTTCCACTGCACACTGAGCTGGTTACATGGAAAAGGAGTGCATATAGTTTAATGTGAAGGCTTGAAGGAAAGCCATCAAGGAAGAAAGGCTCAGGTCATCACAGTTGCTGAGAAAAAATCCTCATAAAACTAAATAATGTCAGGACATGAGAGATGTGAGAAAGTTACCATTCAAAACAGAGAGGAAGTCAGAATCCCTACAGTGCTGTGCTAGGAGTGATCTTACCTAAATCGCCAACCAAAAATGAGAAATAATACAAATGAGTACTCACAGTAGACTTGTTTTTAAACCTTCAAAATTTTGCTCCCCCACTTGAAATAAATGTTACTTTTCACTTCGGAAGACTATTTGGGCATGAAATACGCCACTGGTTACGGATTTCTGAAAAGGAGCAGCTGCCAAATGTGATGAGAAAACACAGGAAGTATACATGGGACTGGTCTAAGGGTGGAGATACGGAGACCCCAGTGCATTCACAAACTGAACAGAAATGTCATCTGTCTGGGGCCGTGCAGAACAGGCAGATTCTGTATGCCTCTGGACAAAAATAAAGAGCATTATTCACGGACACCACTGTGTGAATTCCTCTCAGCAATGTGTCTTCTCCCTGTAACAGCACTGGCAGCATGGATAAGTTGTACTTTCTCTATCTTTATTGTTCTTATTTACTGTTTAGCATACTCTAAGATTTTTCTCTGCTTACTAGTTTGAATGAAAGAAGAATTGCCACACAAATGCATGTAGCAAGGGTATAATGGCAGATTCAGACACCAACTTGCTCACTGTCAGTGCCTGCATTGGACCGTGCTCCCTGGCTGCAGCAGGGCACAGCCCTTTCCCACTGCTCACCCCAGAATGGGAGACGTGCAGCAGTGCATCCCTCTGCACTGGGGACAAGTGCATTTACCTAGGAATGCCCCTGCAGGGTCGATTTTATCACTGTTTCACTGTGAGCTCTAGCAGCAAGGATTCAGCCAGGTATTGGCCAAGGTGAAAGCATGGATCTACCGCCAAACAGGTTTGTTCTACTATTTTTAGGCCTGAGACTTAGCAGTAACGGCTGCTTTTGACAATGTTTTTTTACCCCTTGCCATCTTTATTTCATTTTCTTTCCAGCAGAAAGACATTTCTCCAACAGCCCCATCTCTACACAGCAGAAATAAATAATGTGATGACACACATTTGCTGAGCATGGGTTTAAACCAAAGTCACGGGGGGGCTTTTAGTCTGAGCAGTAATGCATGACCGCTGCTAGAATTTTAGAGACAAGATAATCCTTTTTTTTTTTTTTTAATTCTTGGAGGCTTTTTGAGGATGATACATGCTTATTTACATAGGGAAAAAAAAAAAAATCAAAACCAGGACTGCATCACTGCATCCGTACAGTTTCTGAAATGTTTTGACACATTCTCAGAGATTTAGTAGGTAATTTCAAACGCTTGTCGGGCAATTTATAATCCATTATTTTGCACTACAAACTGCATCCTTGAGTTTATTTAATGGCACAGACATAAAGTAAACTAAATGGCAACGGCACCCGTTCTTTCTCTTTTATCTATGGGGATGACCTTCAGTAAACAGAATCCAAGGGGTGTTGTGCATGCATTTTGATGTTTATTTATATTAATGGGAATGTTGGGATCACCCTTCCCGCATAAATGAGGAAGCAAGCCTTGGCTTAGGGTGGCGGAACAATCCAATTATTTAATAAGATGTGTGTCACGAGAATGTTTCAGGGTCAGTGTTGCATCAAAAGATGCACTGCTTTGGAACCACTTTGGGGCCTTGGTTTTCTAATATTAGCTGCTGAGAAGACTGAAAATCTGGCTTCTTTCTCTGTGAGCTGATGGGTTTCCTGATTACACTGGGATCAGCGTGAAATATAACCAGAAATCTCCCACTCATTTTAGGTCAGAATTATTCACCCCAAACTGAAGAAAGATTATATTAAAGGAGAGAAGTAACTAAGCATTATATACTGTAATCTTGATGTTAACTTGGGCATTTTAGTTCCAATTCTTCTTCCTTTGTTTTGGTCAGAAATCAATGAAGCAACTCTAACTCTTCTAGTAAGTGCTAGAAGTAAAGAAGATAAACTGAAGACAGAGAAAAATAAGTGACACTGGTTAAAAGAAAAGAGCTCCAGCCTAAATTTCAGGGCATAAAGACTTTCTGCATTGAAAATAATTTCAAAAAGAAGGAGGAAGAGGAGAGGTATAGAGAAAGAGGAAGAAGAAGGAAAGGTATGACTGACTTGCGGTTCAACATTAATTTGTGCTGCCATTTCAGGAACACTGGAATCTTAAGAGTTTGTTTTCCCCAGCGTTTGGAATCACTTCATATTTTTGTACTAGAACTGAACTACAGTGATAAACATGGTTAGCTCCAGGCATTTGGTTTGCCATCAGCTGGGAGCAGAAGGAAGCCTCGCTTATTCTCTTGGAAAACTGCTGTTCTTCCAGTTCCAAAAGACACAAGTAATCTACTCCAGTCTTTTTTAAAGGAAAGTTATAGTTGGATGATTCTCCTTACAGAACGTTTTCCATTTTGTCCTAAATCTTCTTTGTTTTTGTTTTGGACATTGGTTTTTCATGATGTGCACCACTAAAGATACAAATAAACCACTCTTTATTTTATGATAGACCTGTTTGTCACCTGTCCTCCATGTTACTGTAATCAAATATCAAAAAAGAAAATATTCCTATTTAGTAGAAGCAGTTCTGTAAGTTGGGAAGGGTAGTGCTACAGTTCCTCTACTCTAAAAAAGGCCATTATTTAGCATAAGGAAATAGACTCTGCTCTTACAGTAATCTTAAGCTCAATCTTGTTGGAACAGTCAGTAGACTTAGAGAATAGCTAGGCATATATGCTGTATGTAGTATAATATATGATCATTGAGGACCATGGGAAACTGAGCCAATGTTCCTATTACAATAGAAAATGGAAAACTCAAGTTTGAAGTTCTGTCTGATGGAAATGAGGTCAGTCTGATGAAACTGATTTGTCTAAGGGAAAAGCCGAGCATTATATTTTTAATGTTTTGTATATTACTGTAGGTTTATATTCTTAATTATGTAATTAAAACTGCTTATCACTGCTTATAACAATGTGTGTCAGTTCTCCTGTGACAAAGCTTAAATTATACCACTTATTTAAAACACACTTGGAACAAAACAATAGCTTCTGTTACCTCCAGCTCCGTGTGTTTTTCCTCCTTGTCATGGTCCTTCAATTCCATTTTGGAATTAGCGTCACACTCTTCTAAATGACAGATGTGTGGACACTCAGTAAGTTCACATTTAGCTTGCTTTCTTGGGAAAACATCTGTTCTGTGAAGGCCATTGAAAAATGCCTCATACAGTGGCAGTTCTGTAAACAGATCATCATCACCTCTGCCATCTGCTTCTTCCTCTTCATATGAAAAGTCATCTTCTCCTGCCTCAGAAATATGGAGTTTAGTATTAGCTTCATGTGATAAAAATTCAAAATCAGAAAACGTGATAGCACTTGGCTTGTGTCTCATGACTCTGATCTCATGACTCCTTTCTGGCTTCTTGGATGGATTTTCTCCTGCAAGGGGTGACCATTCTGTGTGTGAAGTAAAGTATAAAGCTTCTTCCTTTGACTTGTGCCTTGCAGAACACAGTAATTCTTCACAGAGCTGCTCTGCTTCAGATTGATTGGTGGCACTAACAGACACTGTAGTCCCACCAGGTTGCAAGGATGTCTCATTGTGGTCTAATACGGATGACACAGACAGCAAACTCATCTCAGGTTCCAGTAAAACATCCTGAAATTCAGATGGACTTTTCTGTTCTTCTATGTTTCTTTGGTATTCTTCATACTTTGCTCCCTTTGGAGTCCCCAGGCACTTGGCAGATGTAAAACATGGCGAGCTTTGGTTTGCTGCATAGATGTTGGTTTCCATTCCAGTGAGTTTCACCCATCAGAGATCAAAATGACTCCATTCTTGGTTTTCTTTAGAAACATCACTCCACATACACAGACAGGAAATATCTTCTTATTATTCCAAAATCATGATCAAATAATCATTATTAATGCCTGGATTCTTATACCAATCATCTGAAGCCTCTCTGTTCCTGGAAATTAAAAAGAAATAAGAAAAAAAATTATTGATAGGACCTTGCTTGCAACGGAATGCATCAGCAGCAGTGATCCTAAAATGTGACATTCCTGTATCAAATTTACCTATGGCTCTCTTGAGAAACATTTGATGTATGCAGATTCAATGAACTGAAATATCAGAACTCTGACTTGCTTACCCTAGAGACCAGGAAAGAATTAGAAAATGCAGAAATGTTTTTTTTTTTTAATACTGACTTTACATTGATTATTGACAGAATGGATCAAAATCACTAATCTGGTGATATATGCTTGTTATCAAAACTTGCCTCTATTCACTTCATTTTTACCATCTGTTCAATTATTGAGAACTTCTACACCGTTCTGATAAAGCTACTGAAATGTCACAAGGAAGAAAAAGGAGGCAAAGCATCTGACAGAAAATAAAGAACGTTTCAATAAGGGTGGGATCTTCTGTTGCTCAGCTTCTCCAGCACAGTACCTGTCCGCTTCCAATAAATTTGCACAGCAAAAAGAGAAGGCTCAAAATACAGAACTACAACAGTTATACAATAATACAATATAATACAATAGTAATACAGTTCTACAACAGAGCTCGCCACGTCTGGTTTAAATCAGTCCTGACTTCTGGACTCACAGCACGTGCGTGGGCCTCCAACACGGTAAGAGGAGCAGCCGAGGGACCCATCTTGCATCGCTTACATAGCTTACATTCACTCATATATGTAATGTACTTTTCTGTGACAGATTGAATATTGATAGTATTTATTTTAATGATTGTTTCAGTACTCCATCTGTGAGACAGCCAAGGAGGACAGAAGCTTTTCAAAACAAGAAGAGAAACTTACGCCTTTGATGTGTGTGGCAAGCCTGTCACTGCTGGGAAGACTTGTCAGAAGGCAGCTCTGTGATTGTCAGAGTGGGAAGCAAGCAGAGCAAGATGCTGGCATGTGACATGCCTATCACTGCATGTGCCAAACTGCATGTGCCATAAGCTAAGTAAGGTGTACTAGCTAGGCAGATTTTATTGCTGGTTAGTACATATTTCAGTTTTATAGGCATACTTTGAGTAACAGAAATAATATTGTGTGTATATAGTAAATTTGGATTTGTTGTGTATTACCATTGCTATTTGCTCTTTGGTTGTAAAAGGTGCAAGCATGCTGGTATGCACTATTTAGAAAAGCATTCCTCTCAGTTATTGTTAGCTATGAAAAGTCAGACATTATTGTTAGCTGACTGGCCTCCTGCTGGAGTCAGTACAGGGAGGAAAATGCTTCCTGAAGGTAAATGACTATTTTAACATAGTCTCCCTCTTAGCATGAACCTCTTTTCCAAACTATAAAGGAGGGATAGACAGAATGCTTGCACAACTCACACAACTTTTAGATGGGCAGATAAAGGCAAGAAGAAGGGACCTTTACATGTCATCTGGACCAAATATCCTGCAATGAGCAGGGACACCTTCAGCTTGATCAGGTTGCTCAGAGCTCAATACAGCCTGACCATGTCTCCAGGGACAGGGCATCCACCACATCTCTGGACAACCTGTGCCAGTGCCTCACCACCCGTACTGTAAAAAACTTCTTCCTTATATCCAATCTAAATATCTCCCAAGAAGAATTTCTCCCCATGTCTTTTTTTTTTTTTTGCACAATAATAGCAGACTGTAATGTCTACATGTAAATGACAAAAGTGCACTGGAAGGCTTATTTGCTCAGAAGCTTCAAGAAGGTCATCTAAATAGAGGTGACTTCACTTTCAGAAGCACTGAACGCTCTTGCTTCTTTCTCCCTAGTGCTACATGAACCGAGTACAATGCCTTTGAAAAAGTAGACACCCTTTGTAGGAATGCCTGGGGTAACTAACCTTTCACAAGCTATTTTAGGCACATGAGAAAGCCTTCTGCCATCTAGGTGACTACTGACGATTATCTAAGCCATTAATGCTGCTCTTCAGCCCCCTGGCAGCTCTATCCTGCTGGAAGGCATACTGCCAGCACCCACATTCCCACTCTCAGAGCCAGAAACAAGAAAGGAGATGCTGCTATTCAAGAATACAACCCAGAAGGCATCAAAAGAGCTCTGAGATTACTTTTTATTTCTACTACTTTATGGTGCTTTAAACTCCAAAACATGAATTATAATCCCTGAAAAAAAAACTGTACTTGCTGTTATCACTGAATAATCTAGCAGCAAAAGTAAACTCCCAGCTTCATTTTACATTTCATGAAGTTCTTTCTCTCAAGTGATTTCCAGTTTTCAAGGATGTGGCGTGAAGCTCTAGATTCTACAGTTTAATTACAAAAGGCATGAAAAAGATTTTCCTTTTATCAGGGTTGCTTCCTGCCTTGGACTCTTTATTTGTCTCTTTCTCGCAGTGAAACTGGGACAAAGAAAGCATGCAGGAGCAGATGGGTTTTGTGCAAGTGTGGCAAGGAATCTATGAAGAGAAAATGATAGAAGAGTTTACCCATACATCCTTGGAACATCTTTCTTTACTGGAGCTAGGAGAGATGGGCAAAAGAAGCACCCTTCTACAAAACATCAGATTCTGCATTTTATAAAAATAAAAAAATAGACCTTTAAAGCTCCTAAAAACTGAATGTTTTTGGCAGAACTGTAGGTTGGAAATCCTGCCCATACCAAAATGTATAACGTAGAGAGGCTTACGCATTCAGAGCTAAATCTGTACATGTCGTAAAAGGCCCGTAACACAGACCTCCAAAATAATATAATGACCACCAGAATTATGAATGCACGCACTTAAAAGTTCTGAAAAATAACAATCTTTCTGAAAAAGGTCTTCATAAGCAGGGAAGTTATTTCATATGCAATGTGATTCTCAGTATATACTGTAGCATTAGCTGTACCAGCAGCGACCTCCTGCTGCTAGGATCAGATGCTGAGTAACAAAAATCTCTTGGGCGTATCGGTGCATTTTCTAAGTAGGAAGAGCAGTGCAGGGACTACCACAGCAAACTGTTCTACTAAAACTGACTCCAAAACAGCCTAAGGTAGAACACACACACAAAAAAGCAGTATGGGATTTTTTAAAGTAAAATACGAAATCTGTATCTGAGTGTGATAATCAACTTCAGCTTTCTATACACATGCATTTGACACAGAAATGGAACTTCGTTTTCTAAGGAAAGCTTCTTACAAGTCAGCAATGGATTAATACAGATCTGAGGTACAGATAGTGCAGTGATGTGGAAGGAAAGTTTCCTTGTGGTCTGGTAAGAGAGAAGGTATCTGTGCAGATGCACAGCTAAATTTCTGTGTATCACCCTCCATTGGCTTGAATCTCCTTTGTCTAGACAACCAAAATGTGTATTAAACCACCAAGTTTTGCACAAACTTAAAATAAAAAACACATATTAGGCTAAGCACGAAATAGGAGAATTTTACTCATTTATATTTTCTTGAGTTACTACGAGGGGAATTGCTTTCTGGGGAAATTACTGTGCTTTATTTCATAGGGTTATTGTAACAACAAGTCACCTAGACTAACCTGCAAATACTGATTAAGTATCAGTGCATTTCAATACCCACTGAAATTGCATTTCACTATGCATTTTGGCATTGCATAGCATGTGAATGTGTGGAAATTTCTTACTTTTTAGAAGTCTACTTAAACATGAACTGACAGAGTAAACCAGCAAAGCAAGCCCTGGTCTGGGCTACAATGGAAGAGCACTCACCCAAAATGAAGAGTTTTTACCCCATAGCCCCTAATGCATTTGTCTGCCTTTCACAATGACTTTGTTTAATATTTCCCAGCGACTTAAACAATCTTCCCCTAAAAAATTAAACAAACAAGCCACGAGAATATGAAACGTACAGACTAACAGCAAATTAGGAGAGCAGGATTTTCTTTCCCTGTCGATAATTTTACCTGTTTTGCAAGGTAACCTCATATTTTTCAATTCAGTTAATTTCCATGAGCGTAACAACAGGAACTCAGTAGCCAAAAGATCCTCCAAGCATTGGGGCAGAACAGAAAAAGAAATGAGCAGATCCTTAACAAAAGGCATTTCAGCTTGCTTGCTGCACAAGAGCTCTGTCAACAGAAGTATGTGTGAGAATCCCTGGGGCTAAAACAGCCTTCTGCAAGCACCAGCCAAATTATTCACAGTAAAAGAGAGAAAAAAAAAGGAGAGGGGAAAAAAATAAAAGTAGAGCAAGAGCATGCTTCACAGCAACACAAGGTGCTTCTAAAAATACAGTGTGACCTCATTCTTCATACTGAACAGGACCTGAACGCTGTGCTTTGCTTTATCACCTGGAGCACCTGGAGTCAGACTCCCTGTGCACACACTGCTCTGGAGACTGTCAGGTTTTGAAAAGGGAGGCCGTGAAATGCCTTTTCATGTAGCACTTCCAAGCAATAGGAAGGAAGACCAAAATTAGCTTTCCATGTCACGTGGCAAATTCTTATTGTTTGTCTGTTTCTTCAAGTCCTACATCTGCTGCCAAGACTTCACAAGTCTTCACTTCTATATATATTAGTAGGATCGTGCCTTGCAGACAGAATGTCTCATGTGCTGCAAGGCAGAGCTGTAGCGTAGGCTCCTGGATGCACAAAATTCATGGTGTGAGTATAAATCAGTTACTCGCAAGCCAAGCCAGCAAAAGGAAGGGATGAATCGCCATTAGAGAATGAGAAGACTGCTGAGCTATACTATAATTTTTGTTGTCTTTTTCTGTACTGCTTTGATTGGAGCAAACAGCAAAAATGCAAAAGCTGCAACACCATTCTATTTGCGTGATGGCTCCTGCCTGCCAGTAGCAGCAGATTACATCTTTCACCTTGAAGTATCCACAGGCAGAGTTTCTGCCAAATCTCTATCCCTCCTGACTCATTGCATGAATGAGGGAGACAGCCCTTAGACGCACCTGATTGCTTTCATGGAAGTTAAGCAGTATTTTAGTCAGCAAAGAATTTGGAATGTTTATGAATGAATTGCTCAGCAAATGAAGACACATATCGAGGC